AAAAGATTGTACGTATATTCCACCTACATTAAGATATAAGTTATAGAATAAAAATGCTTGTTGATAAAAACTAGTTAAAAGACAAGGTTATCCACCGGATTAAAGCATATGACAAGTCATGCCATATGCAAATAGTTTTATCAAATGTTAATTTTAATATATGAGGGTTATCATTATCTTCAGAAGCGAAAATATCTCACAGGGAAGTGGAAAATCTTTTGACTGACTCGATATTTTCAGTTAGAGTTTGGAGATTTGTGTTTTACACATTTGAAATCATAAACCAATCATTGTTAGACCACCAATCTAAACCTGGAAGCACTGGAAGGCCGTTTCGTCCAGGTATGGGACTCATCAGCAGTGCGCATCGACGACTCCCGCACCTCGCAGGATTCGAATCCGGGACCTTCGGTATTGTGCGCGAACGCCTAACCATTGCACCACTGGGTTGGCGTCCAACGGTGTTAATGTATAACTCTGATTGATCTACGGATTTTGAGCAATATTAAAGGCTCCAATCCCACAGACCTCCAATTTAATCAAAACTGGAGATATGCTAAGCTGATGAGTGCAACGTAACACGAAATCCAAGTCATATCGACTGCCAATTACCGCTTAACAGTTCATAAATTGATGAAGAGTATTTAGTCCTGAGCCATCTAGAGCAGAATTCAATTCGTCCTGATTTACAATATAGTAATTATGTTAGGTATTAAGTTGTAATGATTTTTTGGGATGACTGTAAATGTTCAACAAAAAGTACTAAATGTAAGTTGTGTCTGACAGAACTTTGTAGGATAAAGAGTTAGAAGTTTCAATTAGCATACTTAATGGTATATTGGAGATCCTCTCATGAATTAAATAGCTCATTTGTGATATTTCCACTTTCTACACTCAGTGAAGCGAGCAGGAATAACTAGATAAGATCAAGTTTTATCTAGACTGAAAGAAATCCTTGTTGACGGATACAAATATCACAAGACGGTATTGAATAGCACATCGCTGAAAATAAAACAGCACTGAGAAACTCTCTCACTTTAATTTAAGCTACTTCAAATATATAAAAAAGACTTGATAAGAATAAATGCTATGTTTATATCCCTCATATTAAGCTGTTAGTCCGATATGCAATGAGTGATATTATCCAACTTGAATCGATTCAACTTCAAACAAACTCTAATTTCGCCAAGTATAAAAATTTATTCTCAAATTTTGTTTAAATGACCCTAAGGTTGGTTATTCGTTATGAAAATTTCATAGAATCCATTAACTCAGTATCGAATATTAGTAAACAGTGAATGATTATTTTCAAGAGATAGGAGTTAATATTTATCCATGAAAAATTTATGTTATTATGGTACTAAACTATTCATTGGGGTATATGGATCATGTTTAATCAATTGTCAGCCAAAACATTCAACAAGTGAGTTAAGCCATAGTGACTAATGACTGAATGGCGCATTTAATTTGATCCTATTTGAAAATAGTTTCTGACACTGACTTACAATAATTAGAGAACCACTTAAAATCAAAAATCATTATAGGATGTGCACTGATGAAGAGTTCTCAACAAGTAAAAACAATCTCAATAGACATTAATTTTCGGTGGCTATTATGCTAACGTCTAATCATAACCATGAACGATCTTCAAATCGAACTTAACTCTACAAAACGTTTTATCCTTTAAATAAGATTTCCACAAAAAAAAAAATCAACAAACCTGTTCTAATCCACCTAGTCCTGGAGATTTTACATTCCTTCTAAAAAGTGGTTCTTCTAAATGTTGATAATCTATGAATTTATTATTCATATCAATATGATAATTGAATGAATTTGGCAATCCTTTGAAATTTAACACACAAATTAACTCTTTCATAATTTGTTTACAATCTTCTTTACCAAGTTGAAATAAATGTAAAAGACGTTGATAAATTGTTGAATAATTCTGTAATTCTGATAAATAATATTTTAAACGATTATTTAAAATATGTTGAACAATATTTTGTTGCCGTAATACTAAAAGTTGATTGATAAGATTGATAAAATTTATTGAATGATTGATAGATGTTTGAAATGGAATAGTTTGAAGATCATGTAACAACTTGTTAACTTGATCCATTATTACTTGTGAATGAGATAGACGTTTCTGAAATATGGGGTACAAAAAATTTACTGAATAACTGTGAAAATAATCATAAATAATGGATTATTATTCCAAAAAGAACTCGTAATTAATGGTAACAAGATCGGAATTTACGTTTATTTACATTTTCGATGCACTAAATAAAGTAACGGTCAACTAATTTTATTTCGCTAACTACCATCAATCAGGTTTACTTGTTACTGATATTTGCATGTTAATATCGTTTGAAAAATGTCTTACAATGTTTAATCAACTACTGATTTGAATCTTGGGTAGTGATATGTTTTATCTTGAGCTCAATAGTGAATAGCTTCTTAAAAAAATTCTAAGTCTTAGTGAAAAGCAGCGACCAGTGGAGTTCAACCGTGTCGGGTGTGAGGCAATCAACCACCGATAACAATGGACATCGGTTGCGCGATATCATGGATTAATTTAAGTTTGACATAAACTCCGTTGGCTTCCGGCTTACTGATCTAGAGGCTGAGCGTACGCGCGCGAGATCGTAGGTTCTGGATCCTATTCCTGACTGCAGCTTTCCAATGATCGTCTAACATTGATAGCTTCACGATTTCAATGAAAATCAGCAGGTAGCCTGCCACAAATGTGCTTCAAAACAAGTTGTCGTAACAGATCAATACAAGAGATTAAACTAACAATGTAAATATCAAATAAATCAAAATAATTGGGGTAGTGGCTAAACAAAATAAAAGATTAAAGATTGAGAATATGGTCTGGAAAGGAATAAAAAGGTGCACATAAAGGAATACTAGAACTCTCAATCTATAAGGAGATAAATAATGAAAGCATCTGTGCCATTGTGACAGGTTCCGAGCCATGTTACCCAACACCTACAACTACTAATTGTTTTTATTTTAAGGACTGTCTTTGACAATCATTCTATGTTTAATATCTGAATTGCTTATTTAATTGTTCTACAATGTTCTATCAGTGTTTTCAAGACTACCTGTATTATTATATGTTTTCAAACATGTCTTTAATTTGATTATTAATAAGGAATTATTTTTTAAATCATAAAGTTGCTTTAAATTAATTGTTCATGGATTAATAAAAGTTATTAATCAAATTTTTTATAGAAAATCATGAGTCTCGGTAACTAATTTGTGAATACAGAAAGACTAGATTCAAAAACAATTATGATTGATCACATCTTACATCAATACCATCCAGAGATGAATTTAACATGAGTAAAAGGTAAGGGTCAAGATTTAGTTTCAGCAGTAACCAAAATCTAAACAAGAGAAATACAATAGAAGACATGAGGAATTTAGGAGTGGAGAATGAAAAGCTAAAAATTTAGAGGGAAGTAGATAATTACTACATACGTACTACTGAGATCAGTTTTCTGGCATACTAACTTTGTGACCTATAATTATGAGCATTGCGCTATGAATAAGCAAAAAGGTTGGACTTAAAGACATCACTTCATCCAGTAGTCGTAGATTTCATGAATTGAAGCTAAGTTTTAACTCATCCTCATTCTAACTTTATATTATTAGTATTGAGCTATGTGGAAATCATAAAAATTTTAGTTTCAATCAAGAACTGATACTGAAAGCTGGGAAGGACTTAGGAGCTGTTAGTCCAACAGGCAGCATCTGCGACCTCGCCCCTGAGGATCGAACCCAGAACGCCTAATCTCTAGACAGCTGAGCCATAATCCAACATCATAATGTTTAACTTTGATCCGCTGTTGCGCGATCGCGGATTTGCACTACTGATAAGTCCTATATTAGGACGGAACAACTTTCCAGTGTTTGTAGATTTCCAATAGTTATCTACGTAGGATCAGTTCGTGAATCAACTGATTGTTTTAATTTATTATAGTCAGAGAGAATCAAAAAATCTACGAACTCGACAAAAATACATTATTAAAAGGCAAACAGAATACGACTAACGGTGAAGATTATAAATTCTCAAGGTATCGGATACTATCATATGGTTTTTCATGGAACCACAGACTATCATAGTAAAACGGTAAACTGAATTCCTCCCTTAAAAAAAATACAATTTTCTTACTTACCTCAATCTCTACGTAATCATACGTTTCCATCTCCTTAGCAGATTTCAAACTGAGCAATAAACAGTGTAGTTTCTCCGAGTAGTAAGTTAAACGTCGCTCAAAATTATGACCACTGATAAGCTTCTTCATGAGAATTGCACGCCAACGAGATAAAGTGTGACGTAAATTTAAAGTATTTGAGTCAGCCAAATCTAGATGACCAGAAGTTTTCAATGGACTATTGATAATTTCTACATCTTGATCGTTAGGAAGCTTTAATCTGGTGATCTAATGACAGTACAAGTAAGCAAAATAGTTACATATGTACGACATTTCATTTGAAATTGATCGATATAATTCGACCAGCACTAAAGACATGACATCAATCGCTAATCAGTGATTAAGTAATTGTAAATACATTCCAGTCCTACAGGAAGTCAGTCGCTGCCCGAAAAGCTCAGTCATAACGCCTCTGACGACGAAGCCGGGTAATACGTGACAAAATTCTCCAGAAAGCATCATTTTTCTCAAGATTACACTACCTCGTCAATGAGCTCAAAAAAAATAATGAAACCCAGTTCCCAAGGTTTTCTGCTGATCATTTACAATTACCACCATACAAACTACTGACGACTAGTCATTGTTAGACCATCAGAGTACCAAGTATTTTTATACATCAGATAAACGATTAGTGCTAACCAGTTATTCACACATGATAACCAGTAAACCACTCTATGCAGTTCTGAGACAATGACAAGAAATCAATGACAACTATTAAATAAGTAAAAATAATCTTATTGTGTATCCAATTACAAAGTCAACTTTACAAACAATCCAAATCGCCTGAATAGATTATTTGCAGTAACACTTGGTTCGGTGCTAGGATTAACAAGAAAAATCTATCCAAAAACTTTCCACTGATAATTACTGTGGGATTTCAATATACAACTTAAACTGATGTACGTATGTACGAAGTTCTACGTTGTACTTGACTGGTTGTAATCAATGCTACTTTCACGCTTATCGTAAATCCTAAGACCTAAAGTACTTTTAAACGTTTGTCTCCTCTTTCTACAACTAACCGTTTTCACAACTATTACTGATATTGTGACTACTTCCAATACTTAAAGGTTCGATAAAATAATTTGATCTTGGTATGCTAATATTGCAGTGTGACAAATTGAAACGAAGCATATATGTGTTAGATTCTATGTTACATATAACTAACTGACTAAATAATGTCATATATCATTCAGTCCGAAATGTAAATCTAAATATTCTTTTGCGTAACCCAAAAAATCGACTAAAATAATAGGGAAAACGCCGTTAAATTTTACATGATATGGAATAATTAAAAGCAATCGGTTTTCAGTCAGTTAGTCAGTCACTTACAACGTAGAATTTCGTACGTAAGTACATCAGTTCAGGTTGCCATGCCCGATTAGCGCAGAGACGCAACTGTCAGTTCAAATCCAAGAGTGATGGCAATAGTCGAAGCATAAGCAGTAATGGAGAAGATTATAGATCGGAGATATGATTCGAGAAGCATAATTCAGTGAGATAAATTGAGAAGGAGAAAGGTAGAAATGATGAGGAATTCAGAAGGTTAGAATTTCATAGTACACAACAAGTGGATGCATCTACGCCATCGCAAACGATTCTGAGCCATGTCGTTCAAGGTCTTTAACCATCAGTGACTTTCGTCTCACGGACCCCAACCAGGTAGCTTACACCTACCAACATGACTCAGTCCACCTGTCAATGACTTCATTGATTTCTGCCATGTTTTGGTCTGGCCGCCTTAACTTTCTTCCAACCTACTCATACACTGCAAAACATAGCTCGTCGAGGCAGTCGGTTTTCAGGCATACGTAACACATGTTCCAACCACCTCAACTGATGAAGTTTGAATACTTCATCTATTGATCTGCCATCCCTACCTAGCACTCGTTTCCTAACGACAGCATTGCTTACTCGGTCGTGCCAGGATACACGAGCAGTGCTTCGAAGATATCTCTAATTGAATACTGATAACCTACGAATATCCTCTACTCTTAACGTCCATGTTTCACAGCCATAAAGTAGGACAGAGCGAACTGTTGTTCAGTAAACTCGATCTTTGGTTAAAAAATAGATGTCTCATCTGTGCCACAAGTGACGCAGGTCAGCAAAAGCCAATCGAACTTTCTGTATCCGTTCTGAGATTTCATCAGACACCAGGCCATCAGAACTGATGAGACTCCCGAGATCAGTGAAGCGGTCTACAGGCTCAACTACTTCACTCCCTATCACTAGTAAAGGTGCCGATGCAACCCAATCTTGAAGTAACACTTTGCATTTCGACGGGGAGAACCGCATCCCGAACACGCTTGCATTGTTGCTTATGGTGTTCAGAAGACTGCATTTTGTCAGCGTCTTCACCAAATAGAACTATTTCATCGGCATATTCTAGTTCTGTAAGCGAGCCTCCTGTTAGAACGTCCTCCCCTCAAAAATCTGACGAGGATAATGTTAACTTTAAAAGCATGTCTACGACAAAGTTAAACAAGAATGGAGAGAGTGGACATCTCCGACGGACACCACTTGAAGTAAAGAATTCCGATGACAGTTCACCATAGGCTCTCATTCGACGAGTCGTGTTCGAGTAGGGAGCTTGTATAAGGTTAATGTACTTCTTTGGTTTACCTCTCAATGACAGACACTGCCACAGAACCTCACGATCCACAGATTGAAATTGCCGCCTTAAGGTCCAGGAAAACAACTATTGTAGGACGCCTAAGTGTGTGTCTGTGTTCCAAGACCTGTCGTAGTGTGAAGATGTGGTCTATACAGCCACGTCCAGGTCGAAAACCAGCATGGTTTTCTGGAGTCTGCTCTTCACGAGCTCTAGTTAGGCGTCTAAGTATAATGAAGGCTAACTATTTAGAAATTATATTAGTTAGACTTATTCCTCTGTGATTGTCACAAGAGGTCTTTTGTCCTTTTTTATAGACTGTAACAATCAGTGATCGAGACCAGTCCGATGGCATTGCTTCCAGCCCAGATTCTACCCGAGATCTCAGTCAATCTAACTGTTAAAACTGGACCACCATCTTTAAAAATCTCAAGGGTAAACCTGCCAGGTCCTGCTGCTCTCCCTCGCTTCAGATTTCTCATAGCCTTTTCAACTTCATTGAAAATCGGAGGACTTAAATCGATTTACCATTCAGGATGACTGGAGATTGTGGGCAACCGAAGTGTTGCTGAAGGCCAGTTGAACTGATCCCTGAAGTGCTCTGTCCATCGATTCAATCTCCTGGATTGAGAATGAATAATGCATCCACCCTTTTCTGAGACTGTTTCGCTAACAGATGGATTTCTAATACCGGTTTCCTTTATAAGGTGGAAAAGTTGTCTACTGTTGCCCGTCGCCGCCGCCTTTTCAATCGCTTTTGCTTTCGCCACTCACCACTGTTATCGATCATTGAGAAGGCTTTTTATCAGCCTGTGTCCCACAACGTGCGACAGTCCTCTACCGAACCCCTCCATCAGTGGCTAATGGAATTGTGATCTAGTTGGGTCCAAAGTTGAGACGACTATGAAGGTCGCCAGGTCAACAGATGTTTTTCCTTATGCCTAAAGTTAGTGTTTGCTAGGAGTAGGCGGTTATCTGAGCGTACTTGCAGCAGACGGTCGCCATTGTCTGTTCTCTGAGCTGCGACACCATAACATCCACCTAGGTGTCTTTCCTGCTGACTTAGTTTACCTACTTGGGCATTGAAGTCACCAGCCATTATTACTACATCGGAGCGCTTAACGTTTTGGAGGAGGTCCAAAGGCTTTCTGTCGAATTCATCTCTCACGTCGTCTGAACTGCAGTGGGGGCGTAGGCAGATACGACGAATAGGTAACGGCAATCGGTTTTAAAAACCGTATATAGGTATATTTTAGGCTTATCTTAATTCTCAAAAGTTAAAGTCACGAATTGATCTTAACTAGATAACCACTGAAGAACTAAAGTGTACTACTGGATGGGCTTTTCATCCAAGCAAATCCACGACCTCGTACATCCGTCAGTTACTGTTGTCTCACGGATCCCAACCAGGTAGCTTCACTTCCTAGCACGGCTCAGTCCGACTGTCAATGACTTCATGGATTTGTGCCATGTTCACAGCTATGATAGACGGTGATAAAGTGATACCTAAAATTACATTGACAACTATTAGTTTCACCATAGTAAAACGTTAGTTGAAAGAAGAGTTTTTTCACACAAAACGATCACTTTAAAAAAAGTGACTGAGGAAAATGGAGAACTTTTTTTTCAACAAATTTGTTTTTGTAGTTCAACCACATGACTTTTATGAACCTGTATCATAAACAGAAATTTATGAAACTGAATCTTTTAAAATGAATAAGTTTATTCTTATCAGTTTCAGAGACTTAATACCTTGCCAATAACATATCGCATTAGAATACAGCTAATAGAATTCCTAAATGTTATTGAATTTCTGGAATCAAATAAAAATTCTCCATTTTCATGGGAACTAAACACTTACACAATACTATCACTTGACAAATCATAAGTCAATTATCAAAATAGTTTTTATGATTTCATATTGGAGAGAAATTTGTGATTCAAGATGATTTTGCTGAAATTGATTTCTCTGAGCTAAGTGGTTCTAATCGTCTAGCTTTTACTATCCTTCTAGACAATACCATCTACTCCTTAAGACGATAACAAAAACTTCACCAATAACCCGTTTAGTCTACAGATGAAATTTCAATCAGACAAGTTTTATGTATTTACTTTTAAGATATGCAGTTTGTGTCAAGACTAATGATATTTATCACTTGACTACCATTATTGAAATAAGTAAAATGGAGTTCAAACATGCAAACTACCTGTACTATAATTACTAGTCATTGGTCTGGAAGTAGACGTAGGATAAAATTTAATGAATAATTACATTTACAAAATATGCATGATGGGCCTGTTGAGATGGTTGAGTTACTTTTATAAATAATGAATCGATCAGTGTTAGACCACCATTAGAAATCTGGAAGCACTGGACGACCGTTTCGTCCTGGTATGAGACTCATCAGCAGCACGCATCCACAACTCCTGCAAGTCGCAGGATCTGAACCCAGAACCTTCGGTCTTGTGCGACCTCATCTGTTGTCTTTGGTGAGCACTGCTTCACATCCAAACAGAACTAAACTCCACTGTCCAAGACTTCTCACTACTGGTGATTCCCATACCAGGACGAAACGGCCGTCCAGTGCTTCCAGGTTTCTAATGGTGGTCTAGCATTCATCGGCTCATGATTTCAAAAATTTACAAAATAGAAAAACTCTTATTTTCGAACCATGATGTATAGAACATGAAGTGTTTACATGAGACGGATAGAATACCTTTAAAACTTGTGACTAAAACATTATGTACTTTAATGAAAACCGAATCACATTTGATAAATAAATAACTGGTTCTGAGAGTAAAGAGTAGTTATAACACCAAACAAGTCACTGAATTAATCAAAGTCCGAAATTTACCAATGTATTTTCAATGTAAGTAACGAAGACGAGATATTTTTAAATGAGTGATTACTACTTAATGCTACATGATCCAAATACCTTTAATATACAGTAGTGCGTTACCACTAAGCTGCTGGTGTTTTTTCAAAAAAAACAGGCACAATAAAAACGATTAGTTGAAAAAGGTTAGCTCTGTTATAAAACTACTCACATTTCTCAGGTGTAAACGATAAACATCAATTTTCTGTATACACATTGTGATCCGATCACTTAGATTATGTACAGACTCCAAAAGTAAATAATCAATACAACCGTATTGATTTGGAAACTCTCTAAACAAATTATTTAATTGAACTTCATCAACAGATAATAAAATATCAAGTATTGCTTTATATAAACATCGACTACATTGATAATTGTATGATAGTTGGATTGCTGGATAACTTAAGATGGCTTCGACAAGTTTAGGACGTGTAGTTAATATCCATTGTAAAAGTACAGGATTATATATAGTGGATTCTTTGGAAGTTATAATTGTTTCAGCAATCTTAACAATGCTCTGCCATATATCATACAAATTATATAAAATCTAAAGTAAGAATAAAAGAAGAATATAAAGATTGCATAAGTATAAAACATGTATACACGTATCACGTTAAATTGTTGATAAATGAAAAGTTTATGCAAAGTAGTTGAAGAATACTTAGACAAGTTCAAAACTTGGACTATAATAATATTAATATATATAATCCGCCAATTACTTCATCATTTAACCATAGTGTCTCAGCAGATTTTCAGAATCTGAAAGCTCAAGCTCCTGCTTTCGTTCCAAGTTGAAACTTATTAGTAAGACATATCTGCAATCCTTATGAAACCGAGATCTCCCGTAAAGATCAAACATATGTATAGCACCTGGAGACATTTAAATAAACTAACTATAATATACAATACATCTTAGGGATCTAGTTTGAAAAAATGACAATAGATACCTATCTAAGAAAACTCACAATCAAATGTATGAGGAATACTAATTGCTTCTCTGATTCTGATGCATTTTGTTTCAATTCGTCTACTTGTAGTTTCTTATGCCAACGTTCATTGAAACTTTGACTGCCTGGAATATCGAATTCATTGAGAAATTGTGAGTTATTAAATGCATCTGATTTTAGATCACATGTAATCATAGCACATAAACACTTCGTAAAACCATTCCGTAAATATTCCACACATTTACAATATGTATTCATCCATAATTTACTCGATTCGAAATCACCTTCAAGAAGCTAAGGAGTTGAATAAAAAATATATGATAGATATACTAATCACACTATTATCTTGACAGATTTTATATTCCAATCAACTTATTGTGCTAAAAAATTGAAAAATATACTAATCTTCAACTACTGATGTCATTTAGTGCGTCACTGAAAGTCAAGGGGGACTGAGTAGATGTTTTGTCCTAGTAAGAGATTTTTTGAAAATGCTCTCTGACGACTCCCTCAGGGATCTCAGCCATAAACGAGTTCTGCAATGAGCGCTTAGTTAGTAGACCGCTCGGTTGATCTTCATTCGTATACACCTGGAAGTCCAGTCAGTTCATGATAAAGCACGACTATCTAATTTGCTATCATAAGTAATGATTGCAGGCGTAACCATTATACACAGAACAGCTGTTTAGGATTCCCTGCTTTCCAACAGTAATCCCAACTGAGGTCAATCTTCGATGGATGGCAAAATCACTTTGTTTAAAATAAAAAATTTCTGTTTTGCAAATCAAATTTCATTACGAACTGAAATTAACTAGGGAACTGTTGAAAATCAGTAAGAGATCGGTGATTATCTAGTCATAGTTTGTGGTCACTCAGAAGTGTACATATACAACCAATAAAAAATAGAGTTCAAGATAACAAGATCTTGTAAAAAATGCTTTATAACTTCCAGATCACTAGGGTTAATACTCAGATATTTTACATCAATAAATTCAATCACTTTTAAAAAATGTTACGATTATCATTCACTGCCATGGGATCAGTCAGTCAGTCAGTCAGTTGCAATGTAGAACTTCGTACGTAAGTACATCAGTTCATGTCGCCATACCACATCAGCACAGAGATATAATTGTCAATTCAAATCCAATAGTAGAAGAGGTAGTAAAGGTATTAGAAGTAATCGGAGAGGTTAGAATTAGAAGATATTATTCAAGAAGTATGATTCAATGAGATAAGTTTAGAAAGTAAAAGCTAGAGGTGTTGAAGAACCCAGAAGATTAGGATTTGAGAGAACACAAAGAATAAATGCACTGGCGCCATTGCGAACGATTTTGAGCCATGTCATTCAAGGTCTCTAACCATCGACTATTATCATCTCGCGGACCCCAACCACGTAGTCGACAATTACCGGCATGGCTAAGTCCACTCGTCAATGACTTCATGGATTTATGCCATGTTTTGGTCTGGCCGCCCCTAGCTTTCTTCCAACCTATTCCTACACTACAAAACAAAGCTCGACGAGGCAGTCGGTGGTTAGGCATACGCAACACGTGTCCCAACCACCTCAACTGATGAAGTTTCACCACTTCATCGATTGATCTACCATTCTTACCTAGTACCCGTTTCCTAATAACAGCGTTGCTCACTCGGTTGTTCCACGTTATACGAGCAATGCTTCGAAGACACCTATGATCGAAAACCAATAACCGACGAGTATCTTCTACTCTCATTGGCCATGTTTCACAGCCATAAAGTAAGACGGAGCGAACCACTGCGCAGTACACTCGTCCTTTAGTCAGCAAACGGATATCTCGCCTAAGCCATAAGTGACGCAGGTTGGCAAAAGCCAATCGAGCCTTCTGTATCCGTGCCGAGATTTCGTCAGTCATCAGGCCATCAGCACTGATGAGACTCCCTAGATAAGTGAAGCGGTCTACACGTTCGACCACTTCACTCCCTATCACTAGTTCAGGAGCCGATGAAACCCAATCTTGAAGCAACATTTTGCATTTCGAGGGGGAAAACCGCATCCCAAACATGCTTGCATTGCTGCTTAGGGTAGTCAGAAGACTCTGCATTTTGTCAGCGTCTTCACCAAGTAGGACTATGTCATCGGCATATTCCAAGTCAATAAGCGACCCACCTGGTAAAAGGTCTACTCCTCAAAATTCAGACGAGGATAAGGTTATTTCTAGGAGCATGTCTATGATAAAATTAAACAAGAATGGAGAGAGTGGACATCCCTGACGGACACCACTTGAAGTAGAGAATTCCGGTGACAGTTCGCCATAAGCTCTCACTCGACCAGTGGTGTTTGAGTAGAGAGCTTGTATGAGGTTAATGTACTTATTTGGTACACCTTTCAATGACAGACACTGCCACAGAACCTCACGATCCACTGAGTCAAATGCCGCCTTAAGGTCTAGGAAAACAACTATTGTAGGACGCCTAAATGTGTGTCTGTGTTCCAGGACCTGACTGAGTGTGAAGACGTGGTCTATACAGCCACGTCCAGGTCGAAAACCAGCCTGGTTTTCTCGAGTTTCCTCTTCACGAGCTTTCGTTAGGCGTCGAAGTATTACTGAGGCCAATATTTTAGATACTATATTAGTTAGACTTATTCCTCTGTGATTGTCACAAGAAGACTTCTGTCCTTTCTTACAGATTGGGACAATCAGTGATTGAGACCAGTCGGATGGGATTACGTCCAGTTCCCAGATTCTACCTAACATCTCAGTCAATCTAGCTGCTAAAACTGAACCACCATCCTTAAATATCTCAGGGGTCAGTCTATCAGGACCCGCAGCTCGTCCTCGCTTCAGATTTCCTAACGCTTTTTCAACTTCATTAAGACTAGGGGGACTTAGGTCGATTTGCCATTCAGGATGACTGGAGATCGTGGGTAACTGAAGAGTGGCTCGAGGCCAGTTGAACTGATCCCTAAAGTGTTCTGCCCATCGATCCAGTCTCCTGGATTGAGAATAAATAATAGTCCCGTCATATTCTGAGATAGTCTCACTTACACTAGGATTCCTAATACCAGTTTCCTTGATAAGGCGGAAAAGTTGTCTACTGTTGCCGATCGCCGCTGCCTTTTCCATCGCTTTGCTTTCGCCACCCACCACTGTTCGCGATCGTTGCGTAGGCTTTTCATAAGTCTGCGCCTAAGTTGACTTCGTTCTTCATCATGCTCAGAGCCAGGTGGGATGAGTTTTCGAGCATCCATCAATTCGGTGGATGCTACTGAGATCCACGGTTTCATTCTAGCCTTATGGTCAACCTTACTAGCAGATATCACTGCTGTTTCCACAGCCTTCTTGATATCATTCCATCCTGCTTCCGGATGGGAATCGCTTAAATGGTCGCCTAACTGTCTTTCTAGTTGTTCCTGAAATATATTTTTCGCCTTATTATCATTAAGTAAAACCCTAAAAGGCTTTCTTACGATGTCTTTCCTACGCCCAGTAAGCTTCAAACAAATACGCGCTCGCACTAGGGCATGATCTGAATCTAGACATGTGCTCCAGAATGAGCGACAGTCCTCTATCGAACCCCTCCATCGGTGGCTGATGGCGATGTGATCTAGTTGAGTCCAACGTTGAAACGACTTTGGAGGTCGCCAGGTCAACGGATGCTTTTCTTTATGCCTAAAGTTAGTGTTTGCTAAGAATAGGCGGTTGTCTGAGCATAGTTGCAACAGACGGTCACCATTGTCTGTTCTCTGAGCTGCGACACCATAACATCCACCTAGGTGTCTCTCCTGCTCACTTAGTCTACCTACTTGAGCATTAAAGTCACCAGCCATTATTACTATATCACAGCGCCTAGCTTTTTGGAGGAGGTCCGAGAGCTTTCTGTAAAACTCATCCTTAACCTCGTCTGAACTGCATTCAGTGGGGGCATAGGCAGATACGATGAAGAGGCAACGGCGAGTGTCCCTATCTTTCCGAGTCCTTACTGTCCCGTTTAGTCGGACAGCGCACAATCGACTATCTATTGGGATCCAGTCAGGAGAGATTGTTCTGCCCTACGACTCAATGCTATGCCTACGCCAGCAAGACCCCTGCAAGCAGCATCAGGGCTACCGGATACACGAAGAGTAAATCGAGCTGCCTCTTTTTGACAAGGTGAAATCAGATTAATAATTTTACTAGAATCCTGCATGCGCGTTTCCGAGACGCAGCACACATCGATTGAGCGAGTTTCTAAAGTCCTAGCTAATGAAGCCTGTTGCCCTATTTAACAAAATGTCCGTACATTAAATGCTCCAACATGTAGTCTAGAGCGAGGTTTAAGGAGACCAGGAACGACGTTTCGCGAACTCGTATCGTCTGCATTAGCTGTGCACTGTGATGAATGAATGTGAGAAGAGTTAGTCGTGGAGATAAGAGAGACATTAGGGGGTGTAGGAAGGATTTGATTTTGACCAATATGGTCTCGCGTGCTGTTATGGGTATGAGGGCGGTTGTCACTTCCCGGCTGCCCACACCGTGGAAGGTTGTTTCTTGAGGAACCTGAAAAGGAAGATAGATTAGTGTTGGTGCGTGACCGCAGAGTCCAAGGGACAACTGCTTGAGGCCGGTCACGCACGGCCTTTTTATGAAATGTTTTTTGAGGATTAGCTCCGTTCTTAAAGGCCCTTAGTGGGCACCCTTACCCAAGGAGACGGAAATCCGTGAGTTAGGGGAGGTGTGACATTTTTAGGGCCGACCTTTTCTAACCCTTCCTTCCTTGTGAGAAGGCAGCATCGCTGCAGATGCTGGTTGTCCGAGGGAAACACCTTACTGCTGTCACACCCCTCTGCAGTCAGCAGTACGACTTCGCCCTCAGACCTTGGGTAGCTGCTTTTAGTCTCATCGTTCTCCAATCGACCTGTCTGGCATGGTAGAACCTTGAGGAACATATGTTCCAGCCAGTATAGCTCGGTTGGGTCATCACGATAGGCAAGCCCGACCACCACGTCAAGGTAGCAGCTACGGTCGGGACTGCCATGGGATATATTTATTTTACTCCTTGATATGGTTGAATTCCAACATCTATGGCTCCCCATAAAAATTCTAGGAATGTTCAGCACCAGTAATTATCGCGTTGATTGTAATCTGGTGAATAGGTCATTCTTAATTCGGCAAATGTACGCCAGTACAACACCAACAAACATGTATTAACTATTTGAATTATGCATTCACATACAGCTATTGAATTGACAATATATAATATATAGCCATTTAAAATTCCCAGACATTTTTTCTATCGTCCTTTTAACTAATGTAGAAGATAAGTTATTTTACTCTGATTATTATAGATCTTGATCATAAAAATCAAATTATTCAGCTGTAAATCAATAAACAATCTACGAGAATGTGGTTTTTAAAAATATGTGAATATTCTGTATACTGTTAATTATAACTATGTTTTAATAAAAATAGAAATTTATTACATACAGTTTAACTAATATGAATTAGAATCAAGTTCAAGAAGAATTAAATAAATGCTGATTTTAACATGATGAATATTGAATAATTTAGTGTTGACAAAAAATAATACCAATTAACAACTTACATATTCAAATGTTACTGATTAAAAAGTGTTGTTATTTCTATAATTATTATTACGCTAAAACTAAATTATTTAAGAAATTATGCTTTAAATCAATAGGAGTACTATAAAACAATCAACAATACGAACTGATATTAGTTGGTCTAATACAAATATAAACGAACTATATTGTTTTCAATTCGATCGTTATCAAGCTTTACGCTAATCTACATGAATCTTTATATGAAAATACTAAACCAATCACGGCAATTTATGAATCAATGATTGCGATTAGATAGATTACATAACTACGCCTAACGAGTAAAAGTACAAGTTGGTAGTAGAAAGATAAGTGAACTAAAAGTGGGAAGAATAATAAAATAACAAAAATTCCAGTCAGTAGTTCAACATTGAAGGTAGCAAGTCAAACGTGGTTAAATATATTTAGAAGTAATAATCACAAAACATCATTAGGACTATGTATAATTAAAATGTATCATCAATCTATGCAAAATCTATAAGATTGAGAATATTCAGAAATCTGTCAAAATACATCTGGTAAATAAAAATAAATTAAGGAATACTTAATTAAGTTATCATTGATCATTGGTGTTCATTACTACAAACAATGAGATATTGTTCATCATTTCGGTCAAATAGACAATTCATTTTGAATAAGTGAATAAAAATCTATGTAACAGGGTTTAAGGATTTAACTAACTCAGTCAATCTACTTGACAATCAACTCGGAGAATGAAGCCACTGAAAATCATCCAGTGAGCTACAAATCTCCACCGTCACATTACTAAATCCCTTTTCAGATTAACGTAACTCAATAATCTGAAACAATTCAATTCGTAACTTATTCGCATTTTAATGTAAGTCTAAGGATATGTATCACTTAATTTCTAAAACTTATGATACTGATAATCAATTTCTGTGATTTACACAACACACATTTATAAACAACCTATCACAATAAAGTAAAACTTAAGAATTAGTGAGGCGATTGAGGCAGTTTTATCCTCATATATTCTAAATGAAATTTATGTACCGAAAGCGTAGTATAAACGCTGCAAAACATCTTATCTACCATAAAATAAAATCCATGAGAACTGAATACTAGTTTCACCCTAGTTTGGAACTATAGTAATCAATGGTTAAAATTGACCTAAAACTTGAAATAAGAAAGAGATCAAGAATTATTTATATTCCTTACATAGATATAAATCAACTACACTGAGTTAATAAATGAAAAATTAATTAGTGTGACATAATTCATTAATATTTTGAATTTTTGAACATACTCTAGTCGTCATCTGTTACACTGTTGAAATGTTAAACAAATCATGATTCATCACAAATGATTAATTTACTACTTACCTTTTGATTAGGCAATTGAATCTCAAATAAATCAAACATTATTTGTTCAATCATCATTAAAGTAAGTTGATCATCATTGTATACAAGACGAGAGTGAATTTCACGTAGACGAGTATCAATCATGTTTTGTAAAATATTACATTGACAAATTATTTGTGCACTTGCAAATGGTGATGATGTGGTAATTTCTGATGATATTCCTTTCAATGATGACAAAGATGACAAAGATGATGATGATGATGATGTCAATTGGCATAAATGACGAATTTCTTGCAAAAATTCATTTGGATAATTTACATCTAATAATTCTAAGGAATATTCCAATTTATTTTCTTGTTTATCAGTAGTACAATCATTACGGTGTTTTTCACTAGCTTCTTCAAAGTTAACTGAAGATTTATTTCTAATATGATTATCATAGAAATTCGATAAATTCATATATTTAAAATTAATTTTTGATGTTAAATTTTGACAATCCATTTCAAGTAACTTTACATATTCAATATGACGAGATGTAATATTTGTGAACAGATCGATCGAGATGATAATTGGTGTCCATGAGTAATTTTTTGGATAAGGAAATGGTAATGGCCAGATATACTGTAAAGCGTAGAGGAGGGATAAGAGGAAAATGAACATCATATAAATAATTCAAATGAATAAGTAAAAGAAAAATATTAGCACTATGATTAAGTTTATAGGGTCAGAATTGATTTAAATCAAATAAAACTTTGAAATCGACTACGAACACTTGTTATTAGTAAATGGGGCGAATTATCATTTTCTTTAATACTTTAGAGACATTCACTGTTTAATGTTAGGAGAAGGTAATGAAAACCATATTATGGTTTTCTTACACTTAGAAACACCAACCATAGTAATTCAAAAGCTTATACTTATCATATAAATTATTAGGCTTAAACATAGCAAGAACTGTGAAAATTAATGTCAGTGAATCAAATCAACTGTTACACAACTGGAGCTGTTACCTTGATGTGGTGTCAGGTTTTCCTGAAGTGATGAATTAACCGAGCTATATTGACTGAAATGCTTATTTCTTTGAGGTCTAAAATACAATACTTCTTGAATAATATCTTCGAACCCTTCTGCTTCTACTACCTCGACCACTATGGGATTTGAACTGATAATTGAGTCTCTGTGCTAATGTGATATGGCAACATGAACTTTTGTACGTACGCAAGAAGTTCCATGTTGTAACTGACTGACTGACCATACCAAGTAAGTTGGTTGGAAAGCGGTAAGATTAAAGCCAATAAATACATAGTTTGAGGACTAAGTTGTAGTGACAACAAACACTTGTAGAGATACTCCTTTCCCATAATAAAAAAAAATCAGTCTTACAGGTAACAAAGCACCTCTTGCTGCACAGAATTCCAATACCAACATTAATATCTTATAATAAAGTAGTTAACTCACCTAAAGCTACCCACAACATGGTCGTTTGTAGCTTGCCTCAATTAGTTGTTCTCTGAGACACGGCCGCGCCCTTGTGTGACCAAGAACACCTCTAGTCGATTGTCTTTCCAAAGTAGCTCAAGAAGTTTCTTCTAAGTATGGGAAACCTCGAAATGACAAGTGTCTACATACCTGTGGCAAAGGGCATGATAACTTTGTCCGCAAACAAAATTTATTCTATCCTCACATTTTGTCTCTTATTTTTGTGCAGTGCTAATAATTTAAAGCTAGGAACTACTACCCCAGGTTCCCTGAAATTGCTCTTCAAATTATGTATTGAAGCTTCCTACGTCCGAAAGCTATCTCAAATAGTGCTACAGGCGTCATTAATTTAGACCATAGAATCTCGTGTCGCCGATGTATATTATCTCCTAAACACCCATACACATGTTTATGAAAACTCGACAGCAGCTCCTAGTGGGTTTTTCAGTGTAAGTATAACTTCCATGTTCGTGTTTATCACCAAAGAGTGTATGAAAAAGATATATAAACCCTGTGAAGACTCCTTACTTAAATACGGTCGGTCAATTTAAACTTATGACAAACTCTCATCAGAATCATGAATATCAAGCCATATATATTATCCTGCAAATCACATTTACCACATCTAACCTTCCAGTGGTTGATCTCCTACTAGAATATTTACTTACTGACTTAGGATATACAGATGACGTAGTCCCACTAGATGGAAATGCTGAGAAAATGGATTCTTTTAATCTCTTTCAGTGGCAATTTAATCATGTTGAAGACGCATTTATATTCTTTTAAATGCAAAATGATACTTAAAAGTGATCTGAACCATCGCTTGTACCAATCATAAGAAATGAAATATTTAAGTGCTTCAACCAACTCACTCATCTTGGAAGTCTAAATCAAACCTTGTTTTTACTATTAGTAAGAATTTTCAACCTGCAACAACTTTGTGTGAATAGAACTGAAAAGCGTAAAGATCTCTTTGCATATTTAAATGCAATCACGAAACGATTGTTTACATATATCATTTTATAGGCATTATAACTATGGGATACACCTGAAATGATGAATCTATTCGATCACTATAACAAAAAATTATTTGTGCCTATGTAAAGATTTACAAAAGAGAACGAATTAGAATCATAGGAATGAATATCGAAAACTGCTATAAAGAGGCACTCGACCGAAGCTGCTACCTTGACGTGGTGGTTGGACTTGCTTATCGTGATGACCCGAACGAGCGATATTGGCTGGAACATATGTTCCTGCAGGTCTTACCATGACAGGCAGGTCGATTGGAGTACGATGAGACTAAAAGCAGCTACTAAAAGTCTGAGGGCGAAGTCGTACTGCTGACTGCAGAGAGGTATGACATCAGTAAGGTGTTTCCATCAGACAACCAGCATCTGCAGTGATGCTGCCTTCTCACAAGGAAGGAACGGTTAGAAAACGTCGACCCTAAAAATGTCACACCTCACCCTACCTCACAGATTTCCGTCTCCGTCGGTAAGGGCTGCCCACTAAGGGCTTTAAAATGAGCGGAGCTAATACTCAAAAATCCTTTCATAAAAAGGCCGTGCGTGACCGGCCTGAAGCAGTTGTCCCGTGCGCATTGCAGTCACGCCCTCAGGTCTCTAAGACCAATACTAATCTACCTTCTTTTTCAGGTTCCTCAAGAAACACCCTTCCACGGTGTGGGCAGCCGGGAAGTGACAACCGCCCTCATACCCGTAACAACACACGAGACCAAATACGTCAAAATCGAATCCTTCCTACACCCCCTAATAACTCTCTTATATCCACGACTAACTCTCCTCACATTCCTTCATCACACTGCACCGTTAACGCAAACGATGCGAGAACGCTCAGATAACCATAGACACACACTTAGGCGTCCTACAATAGTTGTTTTCCTGGACCTTAAGGCGGCAATTTCAATCTGTGGATCGTGAGGTTCTGTGGCAGTGTCTGTCATTGAGAGGTAAACCAAAGAAGTACATTAACCTTATACAAGCTCCCTACTCGAACACGACTCGTCGAATGAGAGCCTATGGTGAACTGTCATCGGAATTCTTTACTTCAAGTGGTGTCCGACAGGGCTGTCCACTCACTCTATTTTTGTTTAACTATGTCGTAGACATGCTTTTAAAGTTAACATGATCCTCGTCAGATTTTTGAGGGGAGGACGTTCTAACAGGAGGCTCGCTTACAGAACTAGAATATGCCGATGAAATAGTTCTATTTGGTGAAGACGCTGACAAAATGCAGTCTTCTGAACACCATAAGCAACAATGCAAGCGTGTTCGGGATGCGGTTCTCCCCGTCGAAATGCAAAGTGTTACTTCAAGATTGGGTTGCATCGGCACCTTTACTAGTGATAGGGAGTGAAGTAGTTGAGCCTGTAGACCGCTTCACTGATCTCGGGAGTCTCATCAGTTCTGATGGCCTGGTGTCTGATGAAATCTCAGAACGGATACAGAAGGCTCGATTGGCTTTTGCTGACCTGCGTCACTTGTGGCACAGATGAGACATCTATTTTTTAACCAAAGATCGAGTTTACTGAACAACAGTTCGCTCTGTCCTACTTTATGGCTGTGAAACATGGACGTTAAGAGTAGAGGATATTCGTAGGTTATCAGTATTCAATTAGAGATATCTTCGAAGCACTGCTCGTGTATCCTGGCACGACCGAGTAAGCAATGCTGTCGTTAGGAAACGAGTGCTAGGTAGGGATGACAGATCAATAGATGAAGTATTCAAACTTCATCAGTTGAGGTGGTTGGAACATGTGTTACGTATGCCTGAAAACCGACTGCCTCGACGAGCTATGTTTTGCAGTGTATGAGTAGGTTGGAAGAAAGTTAAGGCGGCCAGACCAAAACATGGCAGAAATCAATGAAGTCATTGACAGGTGGACTGAGTCATGTTGGTAGGTGTAAGCTACCTGGTTGGGGTCCGTGAGACGAAAGTCACTGATGGTTAAAGACCTTGAACGACATGGCTCAGAATCGTTTGCGATGGCGTAGATGCATCCACTTGTTGTGTACTATGAAATTCTAACCTTCTGAATTCCTCATCATTTCTACCTTTCTCCTTCTCAATTTATCTCACTGAATTATGCTTCTCGAATCATATCTCCGATCTATAATCTTCTCCATTACTGCTTATGCTTCGACTATTGCCATCACTCTTGGATTTGAACTGACAGTTGCGTCTCTGCGCTAATCGGGCATGGCAACCTGAACTGATGTACTTACGTACGAAGTTCTGCGTTGTATCTCTCTGTCTGTCTGTCTGTCTGCACACTTCAATTATAAATTAGAGGACCTCAAAACGAACCTCATGGAAATAATGTATCAATAACTGGTCCCTAACATATGTTTCCTGATTGGCTGTAAATAGCATCATATTTCTCTAGGACATTTCTATAGTCGCCAGAATTTCTCCCCATAGTTCATGTTCATTTTCACTGGAATTCAGATTAGTATAATGTTCTTGAGTGACAGTTTAGATCTCAAAGTTGTTCATAAATATGTAAAAAAGGACGAAAAATAAAATAAATCAACTTTTGTTTCTCTGTGTTCATAGAAAAATGTCTAAAAACAATGTCTCAGTGTCAACCTTGATTCCCTCTCATACATTTATTTCAATCAATTTTATTGGCCAACCAACCATACAGTGTTCGTCTAACCTACAAAAAATTCACTAAATTTCTGATAAGACTACCTACTAATTGTTGTTGAATTATTTATCCTGAATAATAAAATACAAACAAGAGTAGATAGAAATTTTGTGTTTACAGATGAAATTTGATCAATAATTAGAACGTAAAAGAGCAATGAAACTAAGTTGAAAAATAAAATGTCTATAGACTTATTTTCAGAGTAATAAACTAATAATTCTGAATTGATTTTGAATGAAAATTATGTATTAGAAAAATATGTATACATCCTTACAGTATGCGAAAATTGACGACATATTCTGGTGACCTAGCAAGATAAGATAGTAAAAGTATACTGTACTGGCGATGT